CTGAACAGATGCACATGCTTGCTTCAAAGTAGAAAATGGGTCTCGACCAAGAACTTGAGCACAAACCTGATCAAACTCCATATCCAGCCAAAAAAATCAAAAAACCGCTCCTTATCAGTTAATTTCTGAAACTTAACAGCATCAAATGGACAATCTACTTGGAAAACCTGATAACAATCAAACTCTTGCCACAAACTATTAAGCTTTGTATAGCACAGGGTAACAGTCATATCTTGTAGTTTTGTTTCATGAACCTTTTTGCGCTGTTCAGACTCGAGCATCATTACCCACTTGTGAATAAGTCTGAGCAACAACATTCCGAATCTTACATGTTGTATCAAGGAGTAAAAAACCATGACATCACCAAGGAATTCTCTGAACACCATTGACTATGCAAAGAACCATCTGTTGTCGATTCCTTTGTGTCTCCTGTAATATATCCATAAGGCATCAAGCAGAAATTGATAAAGTACAAGACCTTGACCAAGACAAAAAGTTGTTGCCATCCAATGTAAAAGGTTTAATCTGAAGAGAGGGGTAATCACCAACAATGCCGACTCGACTTAGCCTATTCGACCCAACAATAATAATATCAATAACACTAGTACTAGTTGTTTCTGACATGTCCACAAATCCGAAGTAGCATAACCACAATATAGAAAGAAAACTAGCAAAACAGAAAACCAAAAAACATGTCACAACCCAAGCCTAAATGTTGTCAATGAAAAAAGGTAGCCCATAACTTATACTAAGCAATAGAGCAAAAAACCAATAGAAATAAAGTCAAAGTAACATACTGTCAAGGGAAAAACAGCACCTGACAGTCTCCAATAAGGTTCCCAACACAATTTGAGCCCAAAAAACACATGGGTTTGACTCAAACAAAACCCTTAGAAACTCCTCTAGACCCCTCAAGATGTCCAAGTCGGCACCCAAGGAAGAGGCATGGTGCGATCAATCCACCAAAAACTCCTCCAATAGGTAGATCAAGAAAAAAATTATGAAATATCCAAAAAACCACTATAAATTCAAAAAACCTACCAAATGACTTCAAAAAATTCTAAGAAAAACAGCATGATACTCAAAAAGAGAAGACGAATTCAGTGGTGTAAGCCGGAATTGCTAATGTCAGGATTGTGTTGACGTCAGCCTTTCGATTGCCTCTTATATGTCTCTCTCCAACAATATTACAGGTTGCAGTGATAATGAAAATGGTTATGGATTGGCTCTGATACCAAGTTAGAAGTAGAAGAGAGAAGAACAGAAGAAAGGAAGGAGAAAACTGTTAGAATAGTTATTTTTTGTTTTACTGTTCTTCTGTTAATATTTACTTAAGTTGAGGGTATGATGGTCATTTCACTATGTTAGGATTTGTATATATATATTTTGCTGATGTAGAGTAAACATTTTTTTACTCCAAATATATATAAAATTACTCTCTCCTCCTCTTCTTCTTCTTCTTCTTCTTCCTCCTCACCTTATAAACCCTAACACTAAATTTCTTCATTATACATTCTAACTTGGTATCAGAGCAATCTATTCTTCATTAGGAAGTGTTCTACAAATTCTAGAGATCAATCGAAGGTGACCGCGATGTGCTGACGTCATCATCTGTACGATGACGTCAACATGACATTAGCACTGTACGGACGAAACCTATACCACTAGGCTTGAAAATCTCTCCTGAGATTTATGGTGATTTTTGTGAAATTTTTTGATCATCCCTGTTGTGAGTTTTCTATTTTCGAATGTTTTTCATATTTTTTGGTGCCTATCTTGGAATTTGGATTTGGGATTTTTTTTGCTGAATCTTCTTGCTAAAATCAACACTATGGGAGCTGAAAATCCTAACCCTAGTGATATTTGGTGTTAATTTGTTGTTCTGATGCTGTTGGGTGAGTATTTGGTTCAAATTTGTACTCCTATTTGTTCAGCTGACTCTATATCTGTTCAGTAGGCTCTTTTTTTTTTCATTTCTACCTATTGAAATTGACTATGTAGGGGCTGAAATCCTTCCAGCAAGAGATAATTGATCTTCAGTGTTAATTTCTACTAGTAGGTTGTTGTGTTGGTTCAATTTGGGTCTGAATCTGTTTGGAAGATCTGTGTCTTCCCTACTTATGCCTGATTTGTCATGGATTCCTATTTGTTGTTACCTATATTGATTGTTGTGGGTATTGGTTGTTGTGGATAGTGACTATTTACAAGTATTTTTGCTACATATGTGCTCGTTGTTGAATATTCTGTGCGATTAATCATCATGGCCGAGATTGTTGCTAAGGCTATGGCTGTGAGTAAAGATGATAACATGCCTAAGTCTATCATTACAAAGAAATTGAATGGTGCCAACTACTTGGCTTGGGCTCATGCAGTCAAAATTTTCTTACATGGCATGAAGAAGTCTCGCTTCCTTGGCAAACTCTCTCCTGCCACTGATGATAAAGCCTATGATGATTGGTGTAGTAAGGATTTTTGTGTTATGAGTTGAATTTGGCATAGTTTGGAACAAATCTTCTTGGTTATGCAACTGGTTCGATTGTTTGCCCTGCTCAAGAAATCATGGATTCTACTAGAGCGCAACAAATTCTCAATCCAGAATTTACCAAATGGAAGGTAATTGATGCTCATCTCCTAAGCTGCTTGGTTGCAACTCTATCTCTCTTGATTTATTCATCTGTTCTTCATTACACTCATTGCTTTCAAGTGTGGCAAGCCCTAGAAAAGAAACACTCATACTAGGGAAAAAACTACGGTGATGCTTCCTAAATTGACACGCTTCACACTCAATCTGAGAAACATGACTCAAACCAGGAACAGCTAACTAAGCTTGGCCAAAGAAGGATGGCCCAAGCGGAAATGCCACTGAAGAGGAGATACAGTAGCGCTCAACATAATAGATGGAGGATGAGAAGGAATCTCTGTCTCCAAAAAGTATAAGACATCCTTCCCATGCCCTAATTAATCATCCTCTTGGTCTGGAGGTTTGCAAAACATATGAAGTGGGAGAAAAAGTTACAGAACAGTAGAAAGCTTGAGTTAATTAACTAACAGAAAGCAAATTAAATGGAAACTTAGGAACATAAAGACCAGAAGGTAAAGAAAGGGATGGAGTGGGGTGAAGAGGACCTTGACCACTAACAGCTCGAGAAGATCCATCAACAAGTATAATAGTATGATCAACAGGCTTCAAATTATCAAAAAGATAGTCATTACCCGAGATATGGGAACCTAGCCACACATGCAATATTACCTGAACTAGCCAAAGTAGCGGTAGAGGATGAAGGTAAACTAGGCTGGACAGACTGGACAGGAGCAGTAAGCTCATTAATGTAAGTAGTGAGTGTCTCATGGGAATCAACTGAAGAAGCAATAGAACCAGTGAAAAACAAAGAGGACTATGAGGCTGAGGCATCCATAACCTGATGCACATGGTTAGTTTGCCATACTTCTGCCAAATCTAAGGTTCAGTATGACCTTAGGAACTGCAATTGCGATTATAACGTGTGCAAGAGCTAGGTCCACTACTACCCCCACCACAGGATCCACCACCATGAGGTCCACCACCACAGGAACCACCACCACGAAAACCTCGTGAACTATAAAAAGAGTCCCGAGGGTTTAAATTCCATTCAAATCAAATCAAAATCATAATCCTTGTGAACCTCAAAGGTTTAAATTCCATTCAAATCAAAATCGAAATTTCATTCTAGAACTGTGGTTGACTTGATTCCGTTTTTGACTTGTTTCCATTTTTGACTTGTTTCCTGACTCAGATACATAGGCAACCCATTCCATTGGGTATCACAACACCAAATAAATAAAATCCAACCAAACACTGAATCGTAAACTACGTCTAACTTGATTATGTTTCGAACTTGTTCCCCAATTCGGATAAGTAGGCAACCCATTAAAATGGTGTAGTCATAATCCTTGTCAATCCAAATATTTACCCAAATTATGATATTAAGAAGTTGGAATCAAAGGGTATTTCTCTTGAAACAAGGGATTATAATTAAGGGATATCATATCCTAAATGGGTCTGACCTATATAATAAAAACTTTGACATATTGTCACGAGTGAAATTGCGTCAAGTGGAAATTTTTTTTTTTTTTCGATAAATTAAGTGGAAATTAAATTTTTGCTTAACAATCATACTTAAATTGCAAGGACTCTGTCCTATTAAATCAGTATTATGTTGTTGAAATATATTTAGCAGAGAATGGTCATTGTTTACCTGGGAATCAAATTTGACAAAACATAATGAGCATGTAACAATTATAAAACCATTACGGCAGTACATAAACAAACCCATTACTTTTGATTGAAAATGTAACTTTCTTAGATTAGTGTGCTTTTCATTTTACTAAGTATTAACTCTCTTGGTTTAAAAAATAAATAAAAATTAAATTACCTGAATTCACTTTTGTGTCATTTCGATCTTACTTTTCAGTTTATTTTATCTAAATGATAAGGAGCATACTTGCAAAGATGACTTCATGACTTAGAAAGTCCATGAAGACAAGAGGAGTGTAAAATTGTACAAAATCTAAAAGAAGTCAATTAATCAAATACTATTTTCAAAAATCCTGAGTGTGGTTTTATAACATCACAATATAAATAAAGGAAGAAAAAATATATGTCTGCATTCCTAAGACACCAATTAAAATCCAGGGCACAAAAATTGGTGTCTCAGTTTTACAATATCATAAAAGGTATTTGAAGAGTAACCAAAGTCAAACGCATCTTATGGTATATTACATTGAGGTTCTTGTGCATAGTGATAACTGATAAAAAAAAAAAGGATCCAAAACAATGGTTACAAGGGTTGGTACTATTTGAACGCCATTATTTCATCATTCAAAGCACCTGCTCAGGGCCTCAGCCAGGGTTAACGTCCAACTATAGAAAGGAGGCAATCGAATACACTACCATTAACATATTTAAGCTTCATGCTAATAAAAAGTAAACAACACACCAACATAGAGGCAAAATGTGTTACCTCAACTTTGGAAAATTTTGCTAATGCCTTCATAGCATCAGCAGCTGAAGCATACTGGACAAATGCAAAACCTTTATTCTTACCTGTCTTATCATTCATCACCAAACTCACCTCCACAATCTCACCTGCCTGCTGAAAAACTTTCCTGACATCTTCCTCCTTTGCATCCTTGTCCAACCCACCAATGAAAATCTCAGTCTTGCGCCTCTTACGCCGCTCCAATGCCTCCATTTCCGCACTCAATACTAAGCCATCACCCATCCCAAATTCCCCCTTCAAACCACTAACATCACAATTCTCCACCTCTTGCTTTGCTCCCTTCTTGCCCTCATCACCTTCAGAATCCACATTCTCAATCTCAATTTCATCTCCCTGGTTTGGAACTAATCCCACTTTTTGATCTCCTAACTGAACTTCAGTTGTGGAAACAACCAGTTCACCTTCATTCCCATTTTTCTTATCCTCAATCAAATCCGAAACTGGAGCTTCAGATAAGTTTTGATGATTCAAAGAATCATTATCTTTTGCTTCAGCAGCCTCAGCCTCAGCCTCCTCTGGCTTATCAACTTCCATTGAACCAGTAACATTATAAATGGAGTCTTCAACTGCCATTGAAATAGAATTGGCAGGGTCAGAATTAGGATTTTCAGCTTCCATCGAAACAGCGACATCAGAATTACGAATTTCGACTTCCAACGACACAGAATCATTAGGATCAGGCTTAAGATTCTCTGCTTCCATTGAATCAGACATAAGAGGTTTAGGCTTCTCAACACCTATTGCACCCAAAACACTAGAATTAGGGTTTTGACCATCATTATCCACTTCTGATTTCACCGACTCTTCATTCGACGAGGAAGCCTGCACCTTTTTTGGCACCCTCTTCTTCACCACTTTCTTCACTACCCTCACTGTCTTCTTCACCACAGTTTTAGCTCCCTTCTTCTTCGTCGCCATCGTCACACCATCTCCAATCACAGCGGTTTCATAAACCTTCTCATATGGATTCTCATCTCGCCCCATTTCTTCGCTATTTTTAGGGTTTGTCTCAGCAATCTTCTCAGCTTCTTTGGGAGTTTCAGGGGAGATAAACGAGGCGGTTTCTAGGGGTTTTGTGGGAGAAACTTCATTGGCGTTGGATTCAGAGGTGGTTTCGATTTTAGGGGAGGGCACTGGTGGAGTAGAAGAGGAAGCATCGGAGGTGGATATGGAGGAAGAGACTGGGCGGGTGGATTTTCTGGCGGTGGCTCTGGGAGACCGTCTCCGCCAAGCGGCGGCCGCCGCCTTCAGAGGCATATTTTCCGGTGATCGGGATGATTTTTTTTCAAAGACAGAAATGCACTTGTTATTAATTTTGTTTTTGTTTTAATGAAATCTAGCCAAACAACTGAAACACAATCATTACTTTATTTTTATTTCTTCCTTATCCAAATAAAAAAGAGAAAAATTTTAATATTTTTTTTCTTTGCTCTTCTCTTATAACTTAAATAATTATTTCTTTTCTTTTTTCTCCTAAGAACCAAAACATAATGTTAAAGATGTAGTAAAAGATATTTAGTGGGGAGTTGGAGCTTTTTAAATAAATATATTTTGATATTTTTATAAAAAAAAATGAAATATGTAGAAAAGTAGATAAAATTGATAGAAAAATATAAAAGAGAACTTGATCGATGTGATTAAATAAGTGTATATATATATAAAAAATATATATACTTTTTTAGTGCATGTCAAATACTTACTTAATCAAAAATATCAGATATCTCAAAAATTCTACCAAATGTGTCACGACTCACATTGTATGAGTCCTACACTCATAATGTGATTGTATGAGTCTTACACTCATAATGTGAGTCTCACACTCATATGTCATATTTGGTGGAAACTTTAATAAAATTTTTAAAATAAGTATTACTTATAAAAGTGTGCTCTGACCAAAAAAAAAAGTTATTTAATACTATCAAATAAAATAAAATTGATGAGAATAAAAAATTCTTAAAATTCTAAAACTTTTTTCATATTTCATCTTTATATGTCAATTTTATTCGTTAAATTAAATGTACTCCTCTATATACCATTTAACTCATATTAATGAAAATTTCTTCTGATAAAAAATATAAAAAAAATCTCAGCAAAAGTTAATAAATAAAAAAAAAAGGTAAAATTTAGTAGAAAAGTGTTCAAAGGTAAAATTTGTTAATGAAAGATTATTGCAAAAAAAATTTCAATCCCCGCTTTGGTTCATAAAATTTATTTTTTTTATTTGTGATCTTTGGCAATGAAAGTCCAATTAATTGATGAAAAAAGTGTCACTCAAAATCTAAAGATTAATGAAAAAATAGGTAAACTTATTATCCAATAGGTCCTGTGAGAATTAATGACATTTTTCATCAAACATTATTTAAAAAGTCACTAATTATTCATTTTTAACGACAATTTAAAAAATTTATCACAAAAATATTACTAATTATAAGTTTTAGCGGCAGTTTAAAAAATCGTTATAATAAAATGTCACTAATTTTGAACTTTCAACGGCAGTTTGAAAAAATTATCTCAGAAAAACGTCACTAATTATAAATTTTAGCGATAATTTATAAAACCGTGATAAAAGCAAATCACTAATTATTAATTTTTAGTGACACATGTAAAAAATCATAATAAAAAAATTCTGTTTAACGACGATTTTATTAAGACTTATTTTCAATAAGACTTGATAAAAATTAATTTCAACTATTAAGATGTCTTCATAGATTACCTAAAATTAATAGATCTACAAACCACTTTCAACTATATATTGCCAATCAATTCAATAATGTTTGTTACATCAGTTCTGTTTAACATATATTCACCATAGCTCGTGTGAACTTTGTAGTTTCACTAAACACTAACATATACAAAGAATATGAGAAAAAACTAGCAGCACCATCATGAATCCAAAGACCTACACTTATAAGTTGCATAAGCACCAAGAGCCACTGCCACCACCACGACCACCACCGCCACCGCAACGGTCACGCCACCGAGTTTCGTAGCCCCTTGATCTTGCGTTTCTTGGGGCTTCTGTTGGAGCTGATTCTCTTGAATTGTAACTGGTGGTGTGGGTTGTTGATCTTGCTTGGGGACTAAAACAGTTTTTTTGGGCATTGAAATAGAAAGAAGGCCAGCACTAGTGAACTTTGCACTGATTTCACTAGCGTTGCAGTCCTTTGAAATTGCAATTTTCTTGCTGAAATGACTGGATTTAGATCCATCAATGGGGCGTTCACCTGAGATCTTTAGAATGCCTCCAGAGATAACAGAGACGTTCAGTTGCTCTCTTTTGAATTCTATCAACAACAAAAATATATATATATATATTGAGCAGAAAATTTTATCAAATTAAATAAAGAAATAGTGAACTTAATGGGACAATAAGGTCGTTATTCTAATATAGTATAGTGTTATTCTAATATCATATAGTGTTTAGTTCATTACAATGAAATAATGACGATGATTGTTTCTTTAAGTCTTTTTATGGACTTCCATTATAATGGTCAATGATAATTTTCTTAGAACTTAATAAACTATTATCTCACTTCCAAATTTTCTTAGAACTTTTGTATAAATTTTCTCTTAACCTACTCAAAAACACTATAGTCATATATTTGGTCTGATTTTTATAAACTTGTTTTAAAAATAAAAAAATAAAATTAGTTTTGACAAAATAATAAAAGAAATTAAAATTACTTATCATATTTATATAGTTTTATTTTGATCATGTTTGGTTTAATTTTCATAAACTTAGTTACGAGAAAAAAATAAAAACAATAAAACAAAAGTAATTATCATTTTTATATAGTTTTATCTTTTTGGAAGGCAAAAATAATTTTTTAAAATTTTAAATTATATTTTTAATATTTATTTTTATCAAACTATTTTCTATTTTTATTTTAATTTCTGAAAAAAAAAATTCAAAAAATGAAACCAAACATGGCCTGTGTAGTGTAAAAAATTATTTCAGAACTTACTTTGAGATAAGGTGTAATGTGTAGCTTTAAAATCATAACTACAATGAATGTGATCTATAGATTTACATTTTTAGATGACCTTTTTGTTATTTTTCTGAATATGTAGGATTGTTTTATTATGATCATCTTCTTTCAAATCACTTTCTATCACTTTTAAGTGTCCTGTCATTTGTAATTTTCATCATAAATCAACATATCTCACATCATAAACATTTGTAATTTTTTGGGAAACTTACGTGCAGGTAGAAAAAAGAGAAAAAAAAATTATTAACATCTAAAGGAGTGTAAGTGTATCTCTATGATGAGGTGCAAATGAAAGATTGTGAGAGTGCAAATGTCACTTGCACCCCTTATGTGTTAATAATTTTTTTCTCCTTCTCTCACCTGCATGTAATTCCTCCTAATTTTTATTACAATACAAAAAATCGTACAATGTAACCCTTTTAATTAGCAGTTATTCGACTTTATTTTGTGAATAATAGGGTACATACGGAAAATGATTTAAAACGAAAAAAATCTAAGCAGAAAATATTTAGAATAGTATCTCAATGCCAATTTTTAAACTACGAGGAGAATTGTGATCATTTTAATTTTGATTGAAAATAAAAAGGCAACATAAATCAATCATGAAAATTATATACAATAACAGTCATGCTATATATTCATAAATAAAATTTAAAAAAATAGTCAGAATTTGAAATTAATGGCTAAAATTCACTCAAGGTTGGGCTCACAACAATAAATTTAAATGCATGTCATTAATTTAAAATGCATGATAATATTTTGAGATTTTTTATAAGATCCTGGATTTTTTCATACGATAATTATGTAGGTATATCATTACTCTATAACGAATCTAAGAGACAATACCAGGAATATGGACCACCAGAGTTTCTTGCCCTTCCTCTCTACGCCAACCACATAAGGGCTCAAAATCCTCATATGGAGGCATGGCTGCAGCAGCTCCAGCTTTGGTCTCCATTGGAGCCTTTTTTGGAGGTGCAGCTGTCTTGGCAGTGGCAGCGGCAGCATCAGCTGCGGTGGCCTTGGTATCAGTCTGAGTACTCATCTTCTTGTTTGGGATATAGGAAAATGAATTGTGAAGAACTTGGGTGAACTGGACATATATATCTCCACATCTCTTGTATTATATAGATATTAATGATGGATGATCATGGGAAGGGTTGTCCAAATAGGAGGTTTCTTTTGGGTTTCTTGATCTTGAAAGAGAATCACTACCTTTTTGACATTTTAAAGTTTTGAGTTGCTTTTGTGTCTCTGGATTCCTTTTTTCTGGTCTATACATTTTCTTTGTCTTGAGGCATGTTCAAGAATTTTCATCTCAAGCAATTCCTTCCCCTTTGTTAATTTAATAATTATGAGAAATGTTATTTATGGTCATTTATATATATTTTATTATTAATTTCTAAATAGTGATTCCAACATATGCACGCGAATTTTATTGTATCAATTTAATTAAGTTTCAATCATTATAAAAATTTAAATAAACTGGAAAAAAAATGGTACCCATTAGAACCAATTTTTACAATGAAAAAATTATAATCAACTATGATAAATCATATCAAACACAACCATTAGGGGTATTATAATCAACTCTAATAAATTTAGTATACTTTCGTATTTTGTTATATTCAATGAATTTTTGTAAAGATTTTTGTATAAGTTATATATATTTTTTAAGTATATGAAGATTATAAGTGGATCTAAACAATAAAAATAATTAATTAAAATGTTTTAAAAAATTACTAAAAATACAAAAAATACGAAATGAAAACTCATAAAATTATTTTTGAAAACTCCAAACTAAACATGGTGTGTTTATAAATAATCTCACACCAATTAATAAAAAAACATGTGTCCAAATCTAGGCCAAACTCCATTGAAAGCACTCCATTAAGAGCCACTTATGAAATTTCTCATTGAGAATTAATTCGAAACCATGCTAACAATTCATAGCCCAAAAGCATCATATTTTTCTTGGACCATCAAAAGTCACCATTGCCAAGCAACTTCTTGCAAGTAGTTCTAAAGCTGATGAGGAGTCCATCATACTTTTTCTTTTTTTTTTTTTGAACTAGAGGAGTCCATCACCAGGCCCAACTCTTCTTTATTATGTTTTTTTACTTTAAAGCAATTTATGTGCTCATCTCTTTCTTTTGTCTTTTGTAATTTTATTTATTCTTATATTTTTTATTTTCTCTCTTCTTTTAATTTTAAGTTTTTTTTTTTCTTTTTTCTTTTGGACTTATCTCTTGATTGCAAATTACATGTTAATTTTTATTTTTTTGGGTCACAAATTTAACCATATAATGCCCAATTCATTGTCATATAATTGTCGATAAATTGTGAATCTCTAACATTACTCACATTTTTATTTAAAAGCAATTTATGTGCTCTTCTCTTTCTTTTGTCTTTTGTAATTTTATTTATTCTTATATTTTTTATTTTCTCTCTTCTTTTAATCTTAAGTTTTTTTTTTCTTTTTTCTTTTGGACTTATCTCTTGATTGCAAATTACATGTTAATTTTTATTTTTTTGGGTCACAAATTTAACCATATAATGCCCAATTCATTGTCATATAATTGTCGATAAATTGTGAATCTCTAACATTACTCACATTTTTATTTAAGTTTTGGCCCTCCAGAAGACAAAAGTCTGGTTCCGTCCCTGTCCATCATGCTTACTAATGTTCTTTGAAGTTGTGAAGTTTTTTATTTTTTATTTTTTTTCTCTGGATTTTTGGGTGTATATGGTTGGCCCTTGCCAATTCTGTTTACTCTCTTTCGGTTTTGAATTTTGTGGTTCAGTGTGGTTAGTTTTTCTCATTGTGAAACCTAATTGGGATGATGTAAGTTCTTTTTTTTCCTTTTTTTTTTTTTTAACACTGAAAACAAAACTAAAAAACAGGCTCAAAGCGTTCAGCAAAGCCACAAGAGGGTTAGACACCCATTGGCAAGGCAGAAGCCCAGAAAGACACTCCTTAGCAACTCAATCTGCAGCACCATTAGCTGCCCTAGGACTCCACTTAAAAGAGAAATTCTACCCATGGCTAAATGTCCTCAATAAAGGGAGCACAGTCCCAAAGGGGATCATTCTCAGACACACACAACAAAATCATAGACTTGTTATCACTCGCAATCTCTATAAGAGAAAGGTTAAGAGCATGGGCCATCATTAGACACGCCAAAGCGTCTCCATGTATGTTCGGTGATGATGCATTTTGCACTAAAACCACCATTGGATGTATTTTGGGATACACGGTTGTACTTTTTAGTGTCAATAATATTTCTACTTCTGCCGATAGAAATAAAAATGTTGGCTGATTTGATTCCTTGGAATTTTTTTTTAATGTTTGGTATTGTTTTTATATTTTTGTTGCAAATAAAGAAAAAAGGAAACAGACAGAAAATTTGTTTAACAAACTTTTTTGACAGCTATTTTTTATTTGTTTTTTTGTCCTAATAAACAATTTCAAGTTGGTTCTTATTCTTTAAAAATTGTTTTTGCGCAAATATGAAAAGGATGGATATTTTTGAACTTTTCGTTGTTATTGTTTCAAAATAGATGAAAAATGAAAACAATACAAAATATGGTTGTTTGGTTATGAATTACAAGAAGGATTTGCAAATCTTCTGTTACAAAGCGCAACAAACATAAATCAGTGACCTTAAAAGCCAAACTTACAGGCTTTTTAAAGCCAAGCTTGAACCAAATTTTAGTAATCCACACACTATGTTAGACATATGCAAGTCTAAAGAAGTCTACTTCGTAATTCTCAATTTGATTTATTTTAAAGCATTGGCAATAGTTGTTTGTTTTTAAAGATCTTTAGTCAAAATTTAAAACATGAGTTTTTTTTTTTTTTTTTCATGGGTGTACAGACATAAAAAATATCGTATTTAATGATAAAGAAATCTAACAAAGAAGATAATTAACACCACCACGCGATCGTTTTCTACAAGACAAAACACCTCCAGCCGTAGCCGGAGGCCCTCCGACGCCCAAGTCAGTCCTCCTATATTATCAAAATATTTAATGAACTAATTCATAGAGAGAAATTACGTACCTCAAACCATAATGGTGTTGCCTATTTATAATATCTAGTGACTTACTTAACAAGTAGTTTGAATGTTTCAGAAGTCCTATCCCAAACAATCCTGATTATTGAGGGCTTTTATATCGATAAAATTTTATATCCTGATGAGTTTTGCACAACATAAAACACTAATACAGTGTTTGATAAGAATTTGATAACTGTCATGCACGTGATAATTTATAATTACGCCACGTGGTAGTGACAGGACCCACATAATTTCTATAGTATTTTTATTCTCTCTCAATTGCCCTTGGAGAGAATGAAAGCATTATGTTGTTTTGATAAAAATAGCCTTGTAATAATGCCTAGCTAAAACCATACATGGGTGTTAGGGCTTATTCCAAAATGCATAACTTTATTAGGACTTATTCCGAAAATGTTTAGCCTTACTAGGACTTATTCCAAGAATGCCTAACCTTGTTAGGACTTATTCCGAAAATGTCTTATCAGGACTTATTCCAAGAATACCTAACCTAACTAGGATTTTTTCTGAAAATGCATAACCTTGTTAAGACTTATTCCGAAAATGCTTAGCCTTGTTAGGACTTATTCCAAGAATGTCTAATCTCGTTAAGACTTATTCCAAAAATGCCTTGTTAGGACTTATTCCAAGAATACTTAACCTCCTTAGGATTTATTCCAAAAATGCATAACCATGTTAGGACTTATTCCAAGAATGCCTAATCTTGTTAAGAACTACCAAAACATCAACTTGCTTATTGACAAGCAAAACCTGCTCAGCAAGGAATCCCACTATTGGACAAACTATTAATCTACTCTGTAAAAAATTTCAAAGTTGGTCAAACAGCTAATCCACTTTGCCAAACAAAACCCACTCGACAAAGATTTTTCAAGTTGGTCAAACTTGTCAACCTACTTTGCTGAGTAAAACCTGCGCAACAAAGATTTTCAAAGTTAGTCAAACCTGCCAACTTACTTTGCTAAGCAAAACCCGCTCGATGAAAATTTTTCAAATTGGTCAAACCTGCCAACTTACTTTACTGGACAAAGATTTTCAAAAATTGGCCAAACCTACCAATCTACTTCACCAAGCAAAACCCACTCGACAAAGATTTTTTAAGTTGGTCAAACTTGCCAACCTACTTTGCTCGACAAAGATTTTCAAAATTGGTCACACCTGCCAATCTACTTCACCAAGCAAAACCCGCTCGACAATGATTTTTTAAGTTGGTAAAACTTGCCAACCTACTTTCTTCGACAAAGATTTTCTAAATTGGTCAAACCTGCCAATCTACTTCACCAAGCAAAACCCGATCGACAAAGATTTTTCAAGTTGGTCAAACCTGCCAACCTATTTTGTTCAACGAAGATTTCAAAATTGGTCAAACCTACCAATCTACTTCACCAAGCAAAACCCACTCGATAAAGATTTTTCAAGTTTGTCAAACCTGCCAACCTACTTTGCTCGACAAAGATTTTCAAAATTGACCAAACCTACCAATCTACTTCACCAAGCAAAACTCGCTCGCCAAAGATTTTTCAAATTGGTCAAACTTGTCAACTTATCTCTTGCCGAAACCAGCTCGGCAAAGAAATAAAATTTGTAACCAAATGGTAGCTTAATTCATATTTCCCCTGTGATCTATAAAGCGCAGACTCCATCTTAGTATATTTGACCAAATAATGGACTCCTAACACGGAATAATAATGCATAAAGTTGATATTCCACATAACAAAAATCTGATATAATGTATAAAATTTATGCTCCGTAGCATAATAACTGATAATAATACCTCCATGTCCAGAATGATAATACATAAAACCCATACGCCGCAGATAATAAAAATCTGATATAATTTATCGTCCATATCTTTGTGATCAGAATAATAGTACATAAACTCTCTAGTCTGCATATGACAATAATAGCACATCACTGCCTCCTATAAGGAATGAATTTATCTATTTTCTTCAAGTAATCTTGTGCAAGATCAATTCATTGCATATTTGTTTGCATAATTATGACTTGATAGTCAAACCCTCTTTTCTCCATACGTATTGCAATGGATCGATCTGAAAGTTGTAGCAGAGCCTTAATATAAAGATAATAATAATACGAGAATTTTTTACCCCAACGTCAATCGTGTGCCATGTCGAGCATGTCACTGAGTAATTATTACGTTGATCAACATAATCAATGATCTACATAATATTGGAGAACCCAACCGTATAATCTTCTTCATTGAATTATGTCGGTTCCCACAGACGGTGCCAATTGTACAGACATTAAAAATATCGTATTTGATGATAAAGAAATCCAACAAAGAAGATGATCAACACCACCATGCGATCGTTATCTGCAAGACAAAACACCCCCAGCCGTAGTTGGGGGCCCTCCAACGCCCAAGTCAATCCTCCTATATTTTCAAAAGATTTAATGGACTAATTCATAGAGAGAAATTGCGTACCTCAACCCATGAGAGTATTGCCTATTTATAATATCCAGTGACTTACTTGGCAAGTAGTTTGAATTTTCAAAAGTCCTATCCCAAACAATCTCTGACTATTGGAAACTTTTATATCGATAAGATTTCATATCTTGATGAGTTTTGCACAACATGAAACACTAATACAGTGTTTGATAAGAATTTTATAACTATCATATACATAATAATTTATAATTACACCACATGGCAGTGGTGGGACCCACATAATTCCTATAGTTATTTTTATTCCCTCTCAAACATGAGTTCCATTTTTATGTTTGTCATGAATAATTCAAGATACAAGAGATATGTAGAAAATATGTGTGATATTCAAGAAAAAAGTGAGAATTATAGAATTCGTTGGTTTGACCAAAGGTATTAGTATAAATATGGGAGATTTTCAAAAGATCAACAAATTTCTCATATTAAGGTGAGTTGTTAAACGAATTAAACTACTCAAGCTTGACTCGTGTTTTTCTCGTTAAAAACCCATTAAAGATCGGTTTATTATGTAAATAAGGTAAGCTTGAATGTAATTTAAAACTTGTTATGTTGTTGAATTAAGTTTGAACAACGTATTACTTAGTTTGATAAACTTATATTCATTATAAAAATTAAACTATTCTAGCTCGACTCATATTCGACTTGTTAAAAACTCATTTAGGATCAATTCGTTATGTAAACAAGTCAAATTTAAATACATTTTAAAACTCGTTAAAATTTCAAATCAAGTTTGAACAACCTAATATTCAGATCATTTGCAGCACTAAATTAAGAGAAAAGTTAGGGATCATGAAATTTTTTTCATGAAAGATTTATGATTCTTGGATTACCTTGATTAGTGTGTGGTGCTTTATTCTAAGTATAATCTAAGGATCACAAAATTTTTATGATTATTTTCATGAAAGGTTTTTCATGCCTAACATTGTTGCTAAATTAAAGTGCATGCCTGTCATCATTAAAGACATTTGGTGATTGCTCATTTGCATTTGATTTTGTACACTCACCAGGTTTGATATCTTATGCCATTTTACATCAAATATACATAAAGAATCATTTAAAGGTATAAAACAAGATCTAATCTTCAACATATAAAGACCTAAATGAATACATGATGTAAGCACCGAGGCACGCCGCCACCACCGCCACCACCACCACATTTGATGCCATCATCTTTAAGCTTTTCAATCTTGAATCTTGTGCAACATTCTTTGACAAATTTGCATCGTTATGTGATGCAATCTTCTGTGTGGCCTTCTCTGTTTTAGCTAATGTTGGCAATTTAGTGGCTTGATCGTGGCTACTCTCTGGTGTAGAGTTTTCATTAACTTTGGAGTTTTGAAGTTGTGGTGGCTGTTCTTGCTTAGGGGTCAAAGAATCTTTTTTCGGCATTACAATGTATAGAAGGCCATCAGCAAAATTTGCACGAATTTCCTTTGCATTGCAGTCCCTTGGAATTTTGATTGTCTTTATGAAACGACTACTTTTTGTTGCTTCCAAAGGACGCTCCCCGGAAATCTTTAGGGTTCTCAAATTGTTAATTTGTATTTTCAACTGTTCCTTCTTGAATGCTGAAATTTATACAATAAACAAAAACATTAGAAAAAATGATAATCGGTTTAAAAAATTATGAATACTGAAGACAAAATTTTGGCGACTATCTTTTTCTCTAGGCGGACGGTGGAATTTTTTTGCTCCATGGTGGTCTTAGGTCATCTGTAGACCATCATACTAGTTCTAGCTAAAAGCATGCTATGAAATTTCTCAAATTCAAAATTTTAAAACAAATTAATATAACCAAAATTTGAGTGATTCCCACTATAATATTTATCAATTGTCATGCTCTAAACAGTTCTTAACAATAAACATTAAATTTCATTCTTTATAATTAAAAAAAAAAAATTCATGATTTTAGCAGCATAAGCTAAAGTTTCTCATCCGGCCTGTCACTATAAAATTTGGTCATCCGTTTCAAATAAAAAATGTGACCAACCATTAAGCTATCGGTTAGAAAAACAAACATCACCTGCATAATGCCCATTAGCTATAAATATGTACATGCAGGCGTGCACACAAATAGATACATATTTTCGCAATTAATAACTCATAACAAATTAACAATAGATAAAAGAAAATAATTAAATGAAAGTCAATGTATATAAATTTGAGCATAAGAAATTAATATATAAAAAAATATAATAATAACTGATCTACTGATTAGAGGATCAAATTTCTAAATAATTTTGTGGCTTGTTGTAGAGATGGAGGGTTTGTTTTTGAGCAACTTAGCAAAGGATTTTTTTTTTTTTTCTTTTTTTTTTTCAAACACAAGGTAGGGGTATGAGATACTGAGTACCAGGAAGATGGACAACAAGAGTTTCACGTCCGTGTTGCCAATTGCATAAAGGTTCAAATTCTTCATAAGGTGGGTTCACAGCAGCTCCATTCATGGTTTCCATTGCAAGCTGTGCTTTCTTCATCCCTATGGTTTTTTGACAAAGATGTTTGGAAGTATATACTGGAGGCAATGTAGGAGTCCTCCTCTATGTGTTTCAAATACATATACTGTTGGAGAGTTTGTAAGAGGTTTCTTTGGGACTTCCTACTGAGAAAGAATCATTCCTTTATGGGTTATTAGGGTTTTGAGTTGCTTTGTGTATTTACCAAGCCTTCTTCATGTCTAGGTGATCTCTTGCATGCACTACACAACACTACTACAACAAATTAAGGTTTTTGAGAAAAAAAATTAACTACAAAATTACTTTATAAGAATGAAATATCGTAGTTATCTTTTTAAGAATGAAATATTTTAGTTATCAAAAGTGTCATTGTTGTATTTTTAGCGACAAAATTAAACATTTAGTGATTGCTATATTTTTAAGACCAAATTTTTTTGTTAAAAGAAGTAAATCTTTTTAGGACAAAAATGTTTGTCCCTAAAAGTTCATTTAATAATGACATCTTTAAAATTTTGTCGCTAAAGATTATTTTTTGAACTTTTTTTGAACGATTTTTAATGACGACAATAATTGGTCCTTTAATACTTTTTGTAACAAAATTTTTACTTTTAAAGACATAAAAATTTGCTCCAAAACCTATATATGTTGTAATGAAATCACAAAATTCCTTATCAAGTAGGTTTATATAACTAGAAAAAATACTTAGACAATTAGCCAAAATTTACAATTTAAGGCCAAAGTTCATCCTCACAACAACATTTTAAATAGACACCTTAAATTTGCACTCTTAGTAGTTTTTTTGGTAATTTGACCTCAATGACAGACTTTCCCTTTTTTATTTGGTCAAATCTTTTTGTCAAATATATCATTACAAATTTCAAAATTGTTATTGGTGATTGGCAAACTTTGATAAGTAACTGATTGGATTATGATTCGAAATATATAGGTCATGTTTGGATTGTTTTTCGAAACAGTTTTTTTATTTTTTTTAAAAAAAATAAAAATTAGTTTGAAAAAATAAACACTAAAAATAATTTAAAATTTTAAAAATTATTTATACCTCCCAAAAAGACAAAACTATACGAAAATAGTCAATATTTTTCATTTTTTCATTTTTTTCACCAAATTATATTTTAGGTTTTTAGAAAAAAATTCTATTTTTTTTTTTTTAAACTGAACCAAATAAAACCATAATATCTCCAAACTTCATATCAGCTCTGTTTAGTAGAACTTATTAAACTGTAATAATCAGCCATTAAAAGCACTTCTTTCTTAGTTTCCAAATAATTAGATTTTTTTAAACTTACTTATGTTATTTCTATTTTATAAGTTATAAGCATAAACTATATCAATTAACTTGATATAGACTTTCAAATAAAAAAATAAATATATATATATTTGGCCAAAAGTCCCTCATTAATCCCCTTTAAAGTAAAAAGGACAATTCAAATTTTTTTTAATTTGTAAGCGCCCAGGTGAAAAAGTGCCTCTTTCATCAAGGATAAACAAATTTGGGGAGCACCTATTTAAACACCAAATACACTCTTTGCACATCCTTCTCACTATACACACTAAAAAAATTAATTCCTAATTATTTTACTCATTGCACACACGGTTCATTCCACATCTACCCTCATACACACACACACATCCGACCCTCAAACCCAGCTCTCCCAACGGTGCAAATACACCCATTGAAGCTGAAGCTGCATCTCTCACATTATTGTGTTGAAGACATTACCCTATAGCTCCCTGCTTCACACAACTTTCATCCCCAAAACTGCATCCATCAAGACATCCCATTGAAGCATTCCAGCACATTTACAATCTTCATTTGTATTTAGGTGAGTTTACTTTTCAATCCTCATTTCTATTCAATTTGTAATGTAGAGTTTTGTTTTTATCATTTTCAAAACGAACGAAGGCCCACAGAGTGTAAACAAGTTGTTCGGAACTGGTTTTCCGAAAGTAAGGAATTTGTTCAGAAGTAGAAATCCGAAATTAGTGATTTATTTCAACAGTAGGTTTCTAAAAATTTTTCATTATTTCGGCAGTCAACTTTCGAAAATTTTAAATTCGGACAACATTCAACTTCCGAAATTAATTTTTTGTTTCGGTTTTCAACTTCCGAACAGTTTATATACTTTTAGTTTTCAACTTTCCGAACAGTTTGTTTTTTTTTTTTTGCCCTCCCTTCTTTTGTATATTCTTTTTACATTTGTATAGCCATGGATTTTGAATATCAACAATGTGTCCCACCTACTGACCAAATAGACGACGTCGTGAATTGGATGTTGACCATGAACGGGGACGAGGGCGTGGGTGAGGACGAGGTCGAGGTCATGATCCAGTTTCGGTAGAATATGATATCTCCAGTGCCAGTCAAAGTCGATTCATCATGTGGATGGTTATGCAATCCGCATACTACGGTCAATGTCCATTCATCATGTGTGGTAAACTTGTGAGCCATCATATCAAAAGGACAACCACATTTCTTCGTACCGGTTATTCTTGATGTATTGTTGCCATCATGTTTTAACTTCTTTGTCGCTCTATATTGGCCACTCATCTCACAAGCAAGATACATTCTGGGTCTTTTTTTCCCTCCACCATAGTCTGATGTTTTGATTACAATGACCAAACCATTTCTCTTTCCAACTTCACGTACCCAGTTGAGCAATTCATCCTTACTTTTGAATACCTACAAAGTCAAATAAATATTATCAAACATTTACATTTGTTGAGCAATTCGAAACATAATCATTATAATTTCGTAGAGTGAACCTGTTCAGTTGTGAATTGAGTAGTGTAATCCACAACACAATCTGCGCAAACCTGACTTCATTGAGTTGACACATATTCCTACACGTTTTGTATAACATTACAAATTTTTGATGGCATTATAAAGATTAATTTACAATTTGAAACTGTAAATTTGGTATGCAGTTTACAAATTTGGAATATAAAATGGAGAAATTTTTTTTTTACTTCATTCGGAAGTACAGTGTTGAACAAAATGCTAATTTTCGAAAGTAGTTGTCCGAATTAATTTTAAAATTTCGGAAGTTGAATGTTGTAAAATTTAACTTATTTCGGACAACAACTTCTGAAATTAAATATTTATTTCGGAAGTAGATTTCCGAACATAATGATATAATTCGGCTCTAGTTATCCGAACGACGTAGGAAAAAAAAAAAAAGACTTTTACATTGCAAAACTCACATTTCTTTGGCTATCTTTCTCATAAACATTTATTTGCTTCTGAAAATTTGAATTTTCAGAAGAGAAATCCTCCATAACAATGATGAATGAGGATGAGGTAAGTGAGTAAACTAATGGAAATGGAAAGCTACAAATGGACTTGGAGCTTCAATAGCTTCAACAACTTCAATGGATTTGGAGCTTCAACAGCTTCAATAGAAGAAGTACCAGCTACAAACTTGGAGCTAAACAGCTTGAACAACAGATGGATGAACTTGGAGCTAAACAGCTTGAACAACAGATAGATGTGAAGTCTGGATGTGTATTGAGATGTTTGTTTATTTGAATTGGTATGATGTCTAAAATAGTAATTTCACTTAGGGATAAAATTGTAATAAAAATAAAAATCATTAAGTGTGTGTATAGAGTGTATTTGGTGTGTGTAAATAGATGCTCCCACAAATTTGTTCCAATTTTTTTTATAGACAATTTAAACCTTAATAACTAATTTTATACTTCAAACTTTAAAATGATACAATTTTTGATCTATATATTGATTTTTAATAAAATTAGTAATTTTAGAATTCTTTCGTCAAGATCTATGTTAGTTATGAAATTCTTTATAAAAAAAAAAATTCGTAATTTTTTTTCCAGTTGAAACTAACGTCAACAGTAAAATTTTATTATGATTCACAATAAATTTTTACTATACTGTGAATTAAAGTAAATTTTTACTGTTTATGTCAATTACGAAGGTAATTTTTTTTTTATAAAGAATTTCATAATTAACATAAATTTTATTTGATAGATCTTGATGAGAAGATTCTAAAACTACTACTTTTATTAAAAATTGACATTTAAATAAAAAATTATATCATTTTAAAGTTTAAAATATTAAATTAGTAACTAAGGTTATTTTGGTAATAGTAATATGTATTGGATTTTTTAAGAATTTTTTTGTGCTTATCCTTAATGTATTAAAGTTTTATTATGAGGGAGTTTTGATAAAATCACCAATAAAGATAATATTATAAACTACACCAAAAAATTCCTTTATTTTACATGTCTTTTTTTCAGAACTTTTGGTTTTCATAAAAACCTGCAAATTTGAATTACTTAAAAAGTAAATTAATCAAACTCAAATTAAAAAATATATATCTTTGATGTTCGGTTTGAAGACAATTAGAGAAGGGTATTTGGCATACACAAAAATGAATTAATAGAGGGAAAGTGGTAGTGAAAAGGAGTAGCTCAACTTGGTAAGTGTCACAACACTATTTTCAAAGTATAAATTTTAGTCTTGTGATGGCACTAAGTTCTAATACTTAGTATCAGTCAATTTTCAATACACATTGAGTACATAATGAGTTAGAACAAGTAAGAACGAAGGCAATACAAATTTACAAGAAATTCTCAACTTTTATTATTGCACCAACAATACAAAGGAATGCCAATGGAAACTCTCACAATTACTTAACTGAATTCGAGTTCCATGGCCATGCCTTATATAGGCTTACAATCAATTACAAAATACAACCAGCAATGCAAGGAAAGCATGCCAGTGGCAGTTGACACCCCCAACTGCCTAGGGCCTTAAGAATAATTCTGGAGCTAACTACCAGTCACTGCTCCTCACTTCCAGCCTTGCCTCCTGATTTTCAGCCTTGCCTTGTCTTTGCCCCAATAAAGGTAACTGTTTCTAATAGACATGCATAACTGTTAATAATTGTCTTGTAGTTTACCCCCATCAAGCCAACCACGAAATTGGTTGTCTTGGCCACCAGACCAAGTCTTGCCCACTGAATGTGTTCAACCTCCAAATATGTTGCAGCTCACATTCAAGTCATATTAATGCCTTGCATCTGTGCAATGCTACC